TGTGGACGAACAGATGGCAAGAAGGCCGGGCTGGATCATGGGGGGGGGGAGTGACCATATATATATATATATATATATATATATTGAGAGAGAGAGAGAGGGATGCAGGGTTGCAAGGCTTAGGGCTTCAGGGGCATGAGGTTCGGACGAGGATCACCCTTTACACTTTACACATTTATGACATCGATTCGGCAGGAATGAATTTAAACCCTGAAGCCGCAACACCGGAAACCCCTAAGCCATCCCAAACCCCTGAACTCCTGAACACCCGAAAATCGGACCCCCAAACCGTAACATTCTGCGGGGCTGGGCTTACGATGTAGAAGTCTTTCGCAGGAAGGCGACTCCTACTGCTCGCCTAAAATGTTTTTGTTACTTATGTACTGATAAGCTATATCGTGTTGATATTATGTTACATATACTGTATGGTGGATTGTTTAGGGTTCAGCGGTGACTTGGCGGGTTTCCAAGATTGAGGCTGTGGGCGCGACGGGTTTAGCAACTGAGGTCTGAGGCGGAAGGTGTTGTATTATATGAGCTGGGTTCATTGTGTGGGATATGCGAAACCTCGAGCATGCTGCGGATCCCGAGACATATCCGGACACAAGACTTCTTGATACCAGCGGTCCTGTGTAGCGTGACCGGTTGAGCCACGGATGGTTTTTTAGCTTCGCTTGAGCACGTGGGTTGCAATTGATGATCCTGTCCACGTTGGTGATCCTGTCCACGCTCATGCAGCGACGGATCGTATCCATCAACCACAGCCACCGACAGCAGGCGGTTGTGCAATGCAGATGTATAAGGCCGAGGATGCACGTCAACAGTATGGATGCCTTGGGACTGGCTTGCAGCTTTCTGTGGGGCATGGACATGTCGTCACGTATCCTGTGACTGATGTATTGTTATTGCTGGCAGTGGCGCCTGAAATGCTTCAGCTCGGTGGTTCGTCCTGGTTGTGCTGTTGATCATGTATTTTCCCGTGAACTGATAACAGCTGCTTCTGGGCCGTGTGTATGGGGCATGCAGTTTCGCATGCAGGATCACGTCACAATACTGCATCTCTGCTTCCTTCAAGGGACTTCAAGAGTGATTGACATGTGGGCGGATTGCCTTTTGATGCGTCTTCTGCTGAGGCTGAGAGTGTTCCTTTCGCGGCTTGTTTGCTCTGCAGGGTGCTTGGGCTTTCAGTGTCCCCCGGCAATGGGTTCATGTGTTTCGGTGTGTTTCAAGACCTGCAACACATTGAGGCCGAGTTGCAGGCAGCAAACGCAGCGCTGCACGCGAAGTTGGTGCCGAGCTGAGTGACACAGGTTCAGTCAGTTCAGGTTTCAGGGCACCATGAGTGAGGTTTAGCGCCTGTTCAGCCTTGGAGGTCGTGACATGGGCGACCCGGGTGAAACCTGTAATTTTGCGCAGCTGCTTGTCATCTGCTCAGACAAACCAACGATTCGCCCTTGCTCAGGAGGCCCATGCCAGCGAGAGCGAGGTGCGTGTCGGGTTTTGGGGATATGTGGTGTAGAGTGTGGGAGAGGTTTGGGCATGCACCGAAGCGTTTGTTCCCACAACTAATGAGCAAGTTTTGGCTCCTTGGAGAAGATTTTCGGCCGGAAAGCCAGGTACCCAGCCCCAAGCCGAAGACCCTAAACCCCAAGTGCAAATTGCAAATCCTGAAACTCCAGACATTGAGCAACAACAGCAACAGCAGCAGCAGCAATGGTCATATGTAAAGTCATATTACGTACGAGCCCGTTTGGGTAGCTGGGCTTCCAGGGAAGCTTTTGTTCCTGCAGGACGGCAGCCGCAGGCATGACCCTTGTGGGCGCGGGGGAGAGGGACAAGATGGTGGATGAACCAGAGAAATAAGGAGTCCTCAAAGTGTCTGATTTACATGTTCCTTCTGAACATAATCCTACCATTTTGGGTTTTTTGTGTGAGGGCCCCTGCAACCAAGGGGTGTCTGGTTCATCCGTTTTTTAGCAGCAAAAGTCTCAGGGCTTATCGAGTCGAGGATTCAAAGTCAGTAGTCAGAGATAGGTCGAGGCTGTCAGGGTTCAGCGAAGACACGTCCAAAGTCGGTGGTTGGTTTAGGAGTCGGAGTTCGAACGTTTCTTGAGCTTGTACGTTCTCTCAACTTAGATATGGAAGATGTGAGTGAAAGGCCGAGTCTTTCTTGTATCGTGCTTTCTGGATGCTTAAAACCGAAATCTTCGAGGATGCAGCTCTGCCTGTAAGTTAGGGTTTAGGTTCTTAGGGTCTTAGGGTCTTAGGGTCTTAGGGGCTTAGGGGTTTAGGGTTAAACGGTTGGCCTGTTTTGGGCCAGGTCTCTCAGCCCTAAGGATGTCAGTGACCCCCATACAGCCAATAACTTACTAGTTAAAGGGCTGTAATAGAGGGGCCTGAGTAATTAAGATAGGGTTTGGGTGCCCATTATACTATGATTTCTAATAAGGAACCCGCAGGATAGTATAGGTAATTATTTCGGCTTCTATATTACCCTATAATTACGGGTCGCACTCCAAAGCCTAGGAACCTGTATCAATACCCATATCCCAAGATCCAAAACCATTTTGTCAGGCAACGAACCTCCATATGTGAAAGCTCCACACTCCTTAGCCGGAAACCATACAGACCCGAACCCTGAAATCCAAAAACATCTCGACTCCCTTGAACGTTTACGTAGCTCCTCAAACATCAACGGCCGTGACGCGAAACTTTGCAAGGCTCAAGTCGAAGCCACAGCCTAAATAAGCAGTAGTCGCCTCAAACCGAGGCCCTGAAACCCCCAAACGCCTCAACCTTCAAACCCTTAAGGCCCTAAACCATAAACCATAAACCTTCGAACCCATCAGTTCTTTCCATCAGGATGCTGGTGTTCATGTGAGCTTACCAAAAACCAAAATAATTCCAAGAAAGCCCGTACACCCTGGGCTTCGAACCCGAAGCTGGACGGTTTAGGGTTTCGGGTTTCGGGTTTAGGGTTTAGGGTTTAGGGCTTCGGGTTTAGGGCAAGAAGGTAGACATCCCTACCTAAACCCTAAACCCTAAACCCCAAATCCCAAATCCTTCAGCCTTATGCAGACATGACAGGCCCAGTTCTTCCCGACTTCGGACCTCCGCTCGGACATCAGCCTCTTGCAAGCATATAATGCGGCGGTTGCGCATTTTGTTTTATTTTTGGGTTTAGGGTTTAGGGTTTAGGGTTGAGGGGGGCTGGGGGGTGCAACGTCTTGTAACGGTTTCAACAAGTTTGTGACCGGCCGCATCTTTGAACGGTGTTAGACTGTAGTTTTTGCCGAGGTTCATGCGGAACGTCCCACAGGCATCATTCTTTCAGGCTAACCACAAGGAAACTCGGACATGCCTACATGCCTACAATAGAGAACGATTGACAACAGGTCTTGGGTGCGCAGTTATTCTAGTATATGCACTTATACCTATATTTACATTCAATATACTTATTTTTCTACACACACACACAGACTTCTGGCAGCGGCTTGTATTTCTTGCCCTCCCACCCCCTTAAGTTACCCTTGGCCGACTTTTAGAGTCAAGGTCGATGACGAGAGGCTGGCCAAGATCGAGAAGTTGCGCAGCGATGGGGACAAGGCATGCTGCATCTGGGGTTTAGGGTTTAGGGTTTAGGGGTGTTAGGATTTTGGGATGTTAGGGTTTAGGTATCATAAAAAGAAAGGCTGCAGGCCCCAAACAAAAAGCCTAAATCCCGAATCCCCTTCCAAATCAAGGAGACCCTTCTTTGGCCCCCGTTTTATTCATTATCTTAAGGCTTTTCCGGTTGGAGGGGTGAGGGGTTAAGGGTTTTGGGTACCAACCAAACCTACCTATAGTCTCCATTGTAGTTCCTTTTGTTTGGTTTCACCAATTATATATTAAGGAATTTTTTAGGTATCCCCAAAAAGGAGTGTAGATTATGCACGTGTAAAGCATTGTCCCCTTGTGCAGTTGTATGGATGACTGTTGCCATAGTGCTCTGACTAGAAAACGCGCCCGTGATTTATGCCATGGTATAATCTGGTCAACACTTAACGGTATTATCAGTGCGTGTGCGATCTGAGTGGTTTTCACCAACT